GAGACCAAATAACATAGAAGTCCATTTCTGTATGGAATATATTTTTGATACCTGCAAGTGTTGTCAATCTAGAGTATTTCGATCCCTTCGTTGCCTGATCAAAAAATATTCGAGATAAAAAACATTATATCCAACCCACCATCAACGTCTATGAAATATGTTTTCCCCAAATATCTTGTTGGTGTCTCGGTGTCGATCGTGTCTCGGTGGTGTTTCGATGGTGCGTCAATGATGTCTCTGTGGTGTCACTGGTCTCGGTCGTGTTTTGGTGGTGTCTCAGCGGCTTCCATGTTGATCTGTGGTGTTCACGCTGTCTTGGTCATATCTTGGTGGCGTCGGGTGGGGGTGTCGGGGCGGTTGTGTTGGTGGTCCGTCGGTTGTGCCATGAACCAGGTAGTCTTCAACGGTTGCATGCAGCTGTCATGACGACGACAAGGGCGAGGAGGACGATGATGATGGTGACAACGACGATGATGATGATAATGATGATGATGATGATGATGATGAACGTGATGATGGTGACGACGATGATGATGATGATGATGAGGATGACGATGATGATGATGATGATGACGATGATGATGATGATGACGGAGAAGAAAAAGAAGATGATTATGATGATGATGAGGAGGACGACGGCGATGATGATGATGATGATGGTGATGATGATGATGATGATGGAGAAGAATAAGAAGCTGATTATGATGCTGATGAGGAGGACGACGGCGATGATGATGACGATGACGATGACGATGATGATGATGATGCTGCTATGGAGGATGAGGACGACGACGACAATGATGATGATGACCATGACCATGATGATGATAATGATGATGATGATGATGATGACGATGACGATGGCGATGACGATGACGATGATGATGTTGTTGTTGTTGCTGTTGTTTGTTGATGTTGATGTTGATGTTGATGTTGATGTTGATGTCGGCATCGATATCTTTATCGATGACGATGATGATGACGAGGACCATGACGATGACGACAATGAAGACGATGAGGATGTGACGACGACCCGGCGTTCGTAGGTTTGGGTTAAAATAGGGGGGAGGGACGGATGTTGACGTATGTTATGAAGTAACATATTGACTATGATGCTTCCACCGGAGCAACTGTGAAAATTCCCTCAGTCCATGCAGCGACCAGGGCAGTGTGCTGCTCACCTCACCAGAGGAGTTGACGTACCTGTTGCATACTACACTTGTGCCGAGACCCTCCTGCAAATTTTTCAAATGAAAAAGGTATTGGAATAGAAAACCAACAGGAAGGAAAGAAGGACATAATCCCGACAGGAGGAAGGGAAAGAAGGAGAGGGAGGGAGGGAGGGAGGGAGGGAGGGAAGGCAGGAAGGAAGGAAGGAAGGAAGGAAGGAAGGAAGACAGAAACAAAGGCCTAGTTCCAGAATGCTGCGTGCACTTTCCCATTTACACATGCTACTTTCGAAGAGTTGCGGGTCCCAAGCAATTTGCAAATGTTGGTTTCAAAATGTGGCAAAGACCGTTCAGTTTACAGATTTTATTTCTAAATGCTACGAACATTCTACAGTATGCAGATTTTTTGCTTCAGAGCGCCGTGAACATCACAGCGCAGTTTTCAGATATGATTCCATATCTTGCAAATATCATGGAATGTGCCGATGTTAGCATTGCACTGCTGCAAAAATTATCCGGTGGCAAAGCTCCGTGCAATGACCTGATGTTGCATCATGACATGCAATGTACAGGTGCTAGCTGCAGAATGCTGCACATACCGAGCAATTTTGCGGCAGATACTACGCAGCTTAGAGATCCTAACAGCAAACGGCCAACATATGGCACACCGATACTTTGACACGGTGCTTCACAAAGACATGATTTTACACAGGCATTTGCACATACACATGCTTTTACCCAGGGATGGTTTTACGCGCAAAGACCTTCATGCAAAGGTGTTTTTACACAGGGATGCTTTCAAGCAAACAAAAACTTTTGCACACAGACGCGTGGGTACTTTTACACACAAACGCATGGGTACTTTTACACACAGACGCGTGGGTACTTCTACACGCAGATGCTTTTACACAGCGATGCTTTTACAGAGGAATGCTTTCACATGGGATTTTACACAGGGCTTCTTTTGACACAAATTTGTTTTCAGTAAATACTCTTATGCAGAGATGTTTTTTTACACAGAAACACATGTGTACAATGGCGTCTTTTTACGCACAGATACTTTTACAAAAAGGATTTTTGCACGGATACTTTTACGGAGAGAGGCTTTTACACACAGGTGCTTTTAGACTAGGATGCGTATAGGGAGAGGTACTCTTACATGGGTCAAGCTGGAAGCACGATTTGGGGGAGGGTTCAAGCCATTTGGGAATCAGGTTTCCGTCCGCTTTGTTTACAGAGAGATGCGTTTATTTACATACAAGGGCTTCTACACAGGGAAAGGCCTTCACACAGGGATGGGTTTACGCAGAGAGATGATTTTACAAAGGGATGCTTCTACTTACAGGTGCTCTTACACAGAGATACTTTCAACACAGAGATGCTTCTACACAATGGTGCTATAAGATACAAATACTTTTACACCGAGATGATGTTGCTAAGACAAACTTTTAGACACAGGCGGGTTTTCACACAGGTCCTTTTGGAAAGATGCTTCTACACAGGTGTTTTTACATGCTAATAGAATGGGCTAGCGCCCGGGTGCCGCCCACCCCCCTTGTTTTTTAGGGGGGGCGGTGACCGCAGCCAGTTTTATCCGGAAATGGCTCAGTTGTAGCGAAGGAGGAAACAAAAGAAAACACCATCCGGAAAATTTTCTTTCTGAGTAATAGTATGTTATAGATCCTGGAGGCAAACGGCAAGCTTCAAGGCTCTAACAAGAAATGCTTGTGGCCAGAGTGCAACGGCAAGGTAGTGGCAAGCCAACAAAAACAGGCTCCACACCTGCCGTGGTCCCAGGCGCCGCCCCTGCCTGCATGCCTCATGCACACATTCTTTTACGCCGAGATTCATTTACACGCAAGCACTTTCACGCAGAGGCGCTTTGACACATAGTGGCAGGCGCGTTTACATGCAAATACTGCTACACGGCGGTGTTCATTTTGCGCGCGTTTTCTTTACACACACGCATGCTCTGTCACAGGGATGCCTTTGATCACGCATGCTTTAACGCAGAGATATTTTTACACGGAGACACCTTTGCACAGAGAGAATGCCTTTTAACACACACACACAAATACTGTTACAGAGAGACTCGGAGAGATGATTGTACACTGAGCAATTTTACGCACAGAAGCCAAAACAAACAGAGGTGCTTTTTACAAAGGAATGTATGTGCGCGAAGGGTTTTTAGTTGTGGGCATTTTCACACAGACATACTACTGAATGATTTCCTGCTTCGGACACGCGTATGGCCCAAAGAGTGCAGCAAACATATGCAAAATCACAGTTTCACCACAGCTCTTGGTCGAGACGCATTTCGTGGGAAATGGTTGGCCCAGCACAAACCCACATTACAATTTGACCTCAATGTTTGACGATTGACATTTCGTGCGACAGGGTTGCGTTTCGTGGACATTAATCCACGCTGCCTTCCCGCTCGAAGAGAAAAGTTAGAAACAATCAAGATTGTAGGTGTCCTTAAGAAATTGATTTCCACCTGCATCTTGACATCTGCCACTTCACACCTGCATATATCCACTTCTCGGTTTCAAAGAAAACCGATCTCCGCCTGCACCTATATATCTTCCGCCATACACCTGCATATATTCGTTTGGTAGCTGTGTTATAGAAGATTCTGTTAACCTGCATCTTTGAATCTGCACCTAAACGAATGCCTGTCAGTAAGATTCATGCTTGCATCTACACCTGTATACATAAATTTCATGTTGTAGATGTATTCAAAAATATCATTTTGTAGATGCATTAAAGTGAGGATGTTGAAGAAGAAGATGATGTTGAAGCAGAAATCAAGATGATGATGATGATGATGATGATGATGATGATGGTGACATTGAAGAACATGATCATGATGGTGGTGGTGATGATGATGATGAAGATGAAGAAGAAAGTGATGATGATGACGATGATGTTTTGATGATGGTGGATGTCTGTATTGAGGGGGAAAAAACCCTTTGCCGGCCCTTTCCGGACTTGGTTGTGTCTGTCCTGATGGTTGATGGTGTTTGTCCTCCTGCTGGTGTCTTGGCGGTCTCAATTGTGTTTCGGTGGTCGTTGGCGTCTTGGTGGCACTTTGGCGGTGTGTCCGTAACTCTTGGCGGTGCTCGGTGATGTTTTGGGTCTTGCTCATGTTTTCGTGGTGTTTCTGTGCTGTTTTGCCGGTGTTCCGGTGGTGTTTGGTGGTATCGAAGAAACGGTATTTTTTGAGTAAAATGGTTTGCCGGACAATACCGAATTGGCGTCAACGGAGATGTGAAACTTTGCTATTGGGGTTGTATGCTGGGTTAATTTGATCCTTCACTCGCAGGAAGCCGTCTTCAAATTCGTGGCTTGTCTTCGGCAGCATGCTGCGCTGCGAAATGTGGCGGATGGCGCGTACTGGGTGTGCGCCTACGCCAATAATCAGCACAAGCTCGAGGAGTGCCGGACACTGCTGTGGGCAATGAGTTTGGATGAGTTTAGAGTGGTTCAACTGAATCCATCATTGATTATTGTTAGTTGTAGTTGTTTGTTCAAACAACTGGTTTAGCGAGGGGGTGATTGTATCACATGGCACTGATTGCAGGAAGAAATCTGCGCAAATCCGCGCTCAACTTCATTTTATCGCGCGATGCAGTTATCCATAGGCGTCGTACTGATCTTGGATGAGAAAGCAACGCCTTTCACAAGGATTTGGTGCTGTTTTGAGGAAAGCATCGCCGTTGCCCGGCTAAAGACTCTGAAAGAAAGACAACCACAAGTCTTGCGCTTCGAGTGGTTCATTGATGACGAATCTTGTAGTATGACTTTCGAGGTGGAAGAACGCAATGCTGGGATGCCGCTGCTCCTGGATGTGGCTGCGACTGATTCTGCCAACGAGGCCAAAGGAACAAACGGGGCTCAAGGCTGCGGGTTGCATACCTAGAGCCTCAAGCGGGCTAGAATTTCAGCCTGAGACAGAATTTAGGCTGAATGGGGTATTGGGCCCAAAAAAAAACAGCCTGCGGGCTGATTTCCATATTCGAGCAGTTTTAGCCAAGTTTGGGTGGGAAAACCATAGACATTTAAAAAAACAATGAAACATTCCAAAGCAGAGAACTTTGGCGTAAAGGAATCTGGCGTGATTTGGCCTGATTCGGGCGTAATTTGGCGTGATGCCGGCCTGATTTGGTGTGATGGGGGCTTTGACAACCGGAAAATCGTCTTCTAAAATGATTGTGTAAAATTTGGGTACACTATGTTCAGAGACCCACAGGTCAACAAAACTGATTCGGGCAGAACAAACGCCTGCGGGCTGAAATTTGCCCGGGCAGAAATTTTAGGCAGAAATTTTAGGCTGAACAGCTGCAGCTTCAGGCAAAAAATAATGTTCTGTGCGAGGATGCAGGTATAGGCTGTCTCATACGCTGCTTCACATGAAACTGTTCCAACAACACTTCATTTGATTCGGTTTTGAAAGCCAGCCGAAGGATGGACATTCAGGCGAACGAAGTGGGTACTCGAGGGATCTAGGTACTAGAGGTACTAGGGGGTTGCACAGAGGGCTTGGGAAGGCCGGAGGGAGCAGCTGAAGGAGATTAGGCCAAAAAGGCGAAGGAAGGTTTGGTCATAGCAGCCATGGATTCCGGAAAAACGTAACAAAAACATCACAAATTACGGTGTATTCCAAAAACACCGAAAATACTGCGCGCCAAGAAGCAAAGGTCGCGAGTGAACGCGTTGTCCCAAGTTAAACACCGTTCAACTCTAGTGTTTGGTCGCAGAATACGTGGTTACCGCGAAATCATTGCCAGCCGCGGCGTTTTTGTATTGGCGCATGGCAAAAACGCAACAGTTGCAATGCAGTGAAAGCTGCATAAATTCCAGTGTTGGGTAGTGTTTTTGAATGATGGTTTGCCAATGTTTGCCAAAAACAAGGTTTGGGGTCAAACGACGATAAACTAGGAACATGAACTCATTTTTACAGTGGTTCAGGTCTTCGGCGTCCTCCAAAAAACGGAAACACGACCTACAGATGGTTTCCCGGGAGCCTGTGTCTGTCTTCTTGAAAGAAATCCGGAGTCAGGTGAAGTGAAAACTTGGGATCCAGCGGGACGCGTGGGAAAAGCAATATACAGAAGAAGGCAGGTAAGGAGTAGAATTTTCAACACGGTTGCGGCCCTGCTTAGCATAATTGTCAACTACCGCGCCGCCCATCGCCGCCCTCTATGATATTTCTGATGGGATGACTAGTTGCAGATTGTTATTATGTCGTTTTTCTGCCGGTGAGCCTCCTTCCCCCCCACCCCCCCAGTCCCTATCCTCCCTTTTTCCCCCGTGGGGTGCTCACAGCTGTTTGTAACTCTCCTTCACTTCTCCTTCTGTGTCAGCCTATTCGTTGTGTCACAGCTTGTTGGCCCACACAAAAGCTTCTCTTCATTTTGTTTTGCCTCTCCCTGGTGTTTGTCCGTTGTCGCTACAGAGGAGACAGGTATCCCTTTAGGAGGGGACAGGCAAAAAAGGAATCTTGCCGTGTCAGCCTCCGGGCCATATTGTTTTGTTGGAGGCTAGGAACACAATTTTAGCCAATGTCGCCAAAGAAGTCTGGCCAGGAGGTGGCAGGGTGTGGCAGGTCTGGCTGGGAGGCGTGGCCAGGTGTGGCCAGCAAGTGTGGCCAATCTGAAGCCAACATCGACCGCAAATCTAAGATAAATCTCATAGCAAAAAGCTTCTAAAACCAACACCGCACCTATCATGCGCCGTTGGTGCCGTTTTTGACCTGGGGTTTGTTCGCTGTGGGTTTCCCACTTTGTCCCATATCAGGATGTTTTCGCTACCGCCGTTTCACTATAGAGAACTATGTGGAATCAATTCGGGATAACTCGGGGATGAACGCCATAGTATGTAATAGCCTGTAATAGCCTTTTCTGGAACCGGGCTGAAAAATAGTTTGATTGCCAATTCGGGCAAGACATGCTAGTCGGGCGAGAATGGCAATTTGGCAAAGCAGGTCTGGAGACATCTTTCCCGCATAATTGTCATGTGCTGTTCAAACCATTTTTGAAAATTTGCGTCATAGCGAGTTGGACGAGAATACCTGGAAAAGAGGCGGGAATGCCCGGGGAACAGGCGAGTATTCGCGAGGAAAGGTTTACTTTTCCGTTGACCATAGCTTGCTTTCGAGGGATTCGTACTTCCAGGAATGGCAGCAGAAATGCGGAACGGTGAATCTAATCCAAAACGCGCACATTCTCTTCAGATGAGATTTCCAGGGTCAGGCAGGCTCAAATTATAGATTTCGTTGGCTCTAGGTTGTTTTTGTTTGATGGCAGGTTTCTTTAGCACCGTGTGCCAGGCGCACGTGCTGACTGATGGCTTGGCGGCCGCAGAGGCGTGCCGGATGCCGCTGCTTGGCTTTTTGGCCAAGTCTGTGCGTGAAGCAGCCTTCCCCACACCACTGGTGCAGAAGGCCGTGTGAAGTTGGGGTATGCATCGGTCTTCTGCAGAATTAGATCAGCTATGAATCTGCATATCTCATCCGACGTTACATTTTCAAACGTTTTATTTGTTCCTGATTGGATCTGATGCAAAAAATGTTTGCTGCAACCTGCAGCGGCAAAAAATGCAGGCGTGTGACCTACCAGTTAATTCGTGGCAGGTCGAATTGTATGTGAAAGTGCTAACGCAGGGCCTGGAAGTTGACATCGCGCGAGCCGATGCCAGCCACGCGTCGGACAAGACAGCCATCCTGAATTCCATCAGGTTGCCACGTGCAAGGACCAAGGCCAGGCTTCGGCAGCGAATGGGTTGTCCAAAGCATTGAAAAAGCAGCGAATGGGTTGTCCAAAGCATTGAAAAACGCGGAATTTGGGAAACAAGACATTGCTTTCAAAAATGGTGTGTTTTACCAATCCTACCTGCACAAGGCGGGGCGGAAGTTGCCCAAATAAAGAACCTATAAGAGTTGCGCGTGCGAAGCTGCGGCGTGCAAGGACCATGTGCAAAGTTCATATTCTCAAGATGTTTGCGGTACATGTAGTGGCGCGATATGTGTGATATTGTGAAGTGAATGTTTCGTGAAGTTGTTGTGCGCTATCCTAAGAATTTCCTTCTCAAATAACCGCGGTTTGAAAATAAACGCGGTAGGTATCTTAACTTCAAGGCTATATAGAGTTTCAGTGGAAAACATTTTGCCTATTAGGCAGAAAACCGCCTTAGATACACTGGCCACACCAGCAATCTCCAGTCAAATTTATCAGTGTTGGTTGCTGAATGTAGTTTCAACGTTCTCCTTGCCGCCATGGGGCCCCATTTAGTTTAGTTGAGCTGTGGACCCGCGGGCATGAAATTGATCGGGTTTTTGACTAGTAGCAAAAACAGCTAGCGCGTGAAGGGTAGCTATCAAACATGAACTGCGGAAGCCCTGTAGATGGCGTGGGAAATTGTGTTTCCGGCTGGTACGGTATAGGTACTCTCTGACCCCGCACCATTGGACGATCCAAATTATACAGCCGTGCCGCTCGGCATGTGATGTTTGAAACCTATGCCTGCCTGGTGACTTATGCCTCGTTGTTTCGTGGCTTTCGGGAAGCTGAGGAACCAGGCGTTGGCGGCGCACTTTGCACTGGCGTCGTGGTTCGGGTCCGTGGCGCGGAAACGCGACTCGTTCGACTCCTCCAAGCTCTTGAGCGCCCTGGCGGCAGACAGCTTTCGGAGAGTGGTGCAGCTGTCCTTCACGGGCTGCTGTGGCTTCACAGATGCGGAGCTGAACCAGCTGCTGCGGCACCTTCCCAGGCAAATCGGCATATTGAAAAACCGGTGCAGGGTGTGACGGCATGGAGATGAATTTGATTGCCGAATTCTGGCAGGCAGCTGCTGATGCTTCGTTTAGATATGGGCTTCAGTGGAGTCCAATGCTGGGCTTTCCCAGAGGCACAAGCTCTGTGCCGTGCGCCAGGATGCTTTGACGTCCTCTAAAGCTATGTATATATACCAGGTTGGCAACTTTGAGATATTGAATAAGAAAAACATGAGATACACGGTTTCAATCAAAAGAAATTCAATATCCACAATATCAATTGTCAATTGTTTTATAATGATATATATTTGATATTCTTCGAATTTTTGGAAGGTGCCCCGCGCCAAGACTTGCCAAGAGGTCGAGGAGATGGAGATGCCTCCACTGCAGGAACTCAGCCTGCGCTTCACGGGCTCCCACCTGGCAAACGCTTCGGGCTTGGGGCAGATGCTCGGTGCCAAGCCGATGTCGCAGTCACTGCACTCTGTCCAGCTCTGGTTTTCCAATTTGCCGTGCGCAGCTCAGCCAACGTCAGAAGGAGAATTTTACCTTTTAGGTTCGAGATGCTCAAAGTTTGAGCCATGGACTGGATGTTGAGCGATTTCTTGAGGTCCTTGGTGGAACTGGGCTCATGGGAGCATCTCACGAAGCTGAAACTGGAAGAATTGGTGTTGCAGCTGAACTCTTGCAAGGCCGTCACTGACGAAGCCAGGCAATCCTTGCCTCTCAGATTGCAGTTGGAGATAGTTGGAGATGATGAGATGCGAAAAAGGATCGAATTGCGGTGAGTCCCAAGAGGGTTGCCACGCGATCCCGCCATTTGATGGAACTTTGACGTTCTAAATTATGAAAGCCCGCCGTTGGCTAGAGCTGAAGGTTTTTGTCGGGAACATAGTGAGCTTGAGGGTCTGGGGGGCAGGCCTTGCCACTTGGAACAAAAAACGCATAAATAGGTGGCGTGGAGAAGGGCTTTTGAAACCATTGAGACGCCATAAAGACGGTGATGACGGTGATGAGTGATGAGAATCAATATACCTGCCTTTTGAGAGCATTGAGAAGCTAAAGAATTGGTGATGAGAACAGAGCATGTAGAGACGCAAAAATGGTGATCGTAGGTTATATATATATTGTGGAGATTTTAGGTATATTGAAGTCTGTTTGTGAGAAGTCTGTGGGTGAAGTGTGTGGGCGGGAAGTTTGTATAGGCGAGAAGTTTGTGAGGGAGAATTTTGCGGGTGAGAATCTGGTGGGTCAGAAGCTTGTGGGTGAGAAATTTCGAAATATTTACTACTTTCCTCATTTGGTTCGCTAGCTGACTTCCATCGTCAGTCCCATTTCACATCACCTTCGATCAGGCTTTCGTTACATCCTTTTCAGGTATTTTTGAACAAAATAGTTTTCCAAAGAGCGTGGTCGCAGTGAGGGGGTTACGGGAAGTGTATGCAAGAGCTGGTGCGGTCGCAGCGGTCAATGTGGTTCAACTGCACGGCTTTGCATGTATTTGTTTCTCGTGGCATGGGTTGATTGGGTCGACTTGAAGTGATCGCGGTTTCCCCTGGTGTGGCGCATCGTAGATGCGTTATTCCATGTGGCAGGCATGGGACGTGAACGTCAATTTTGCACGGCAGGCGCAGCACAAACATGACCTCGTGACCCCCTGACCGTTTTGCGTGGCACATGCAATAGGACAGAGATCTTGAACCGAGAGATCTTGTGAAATGTCGGTGATCATCCCACAAGATCATCTCACAGGATCTTGCACTGATCTTGTGGAGGGATCTTGTACCAGCACTCCAGAGACGTCTTTTGGAAACATCTTGCGTAGAGATTTTGTGCCCGACATGTACTGTCAAAGATCTGGTGCTTGGGGTTCTTGTGATGGCGGCAGTTCTCAAAATATGGGATTTGTAGATTTTCCCAGCAGAGCCATGCATAAAGGTCGTCGCAACAGAGGCGCGCAAGGCGAAGGATTTCCTAAAATTATTCATATTTGCGATATCTTAAAATTGTAGTGATATTGTCACGCGTGGAATCCTCATCAGATCCCATCAGTTTCTTCTGCGTTTTCACTGTTTGGGGATTTTGGGGACATGTTGGATTCAACAAGGTATGATTGCGTCCAACGTCTGAAACGTCGTCAGAGAGGATTGGAACTGCGCTTGAGGATCGAGGCTGAGCCAAGCTGCGCAGCATCTGCACAGGGACGAGTCGCAATTTGTGTCAGCCCAGGGGGACCACATGTTTCAGATCCTAAACATAGCATCTCATAATTTGTTCACCTTTCAGGATTTAAAAGTATCTGAAGTTTTGATACCCCAAACCCACACAGTTTTGTTCAGGGTGTGGCTGAGCGATCATGGCCCTGGGTGCCATGTCAGAGGCCAGCTGTCAAGGAGCCAAGCGTGAAATGGTCTTGCGCCGTTCTCGAGTGGATATGGTCTTGCCCCATTGCGGTGTTTCGAAACACTCTCAAGTCGCCGTTACGAAAGAGAAAAGCACGTAGGGAATCATGGGGAGCTTGTGACAGTTTATGAGGAAATGCTCTTATCATGTCCTATCCAACCAGGGCATACCAGGGCTTTGGTGTGTTGCAGCGCAGGATTTGGAGTTGGCAGGCGGCAAGAGTGTGGACAAGTTGGAGAATTTTGGAAGTGAGACTCTACCATTCCCATGTAGCTACGGCGGCTGCGACATCTTCCATTCGAACTTGAGTGGCTTTTGCCCGAAGCACCGCATGTGGCGGCATTGTTGGAAGTCGGCGCGCGTTTGGCAGACAGCTCCTTGGCCCGTTGTTGGTTGTCCATGGTTGTCCACACCTGAACAACTGCAGTGTTAGAAGACCTTCATCGCCATGTCGTTTTGAAGGCTTGGTGCTGGACCGAGCTCAGCTTGCTCTGCGCGATCCAGGCCGCGGCCGAGATCGAGCATCGCGCCACGCTGGTGGCCATCCTGCTCTCGTTGTGCTGAAGCTGCAGTTGGAATCAACGGATTTCAGGTGATTTCCGCTTTATACCCTACCCAAGTTGGAATCCTTCAGCTTTACCCCGACCCTGAAATCCTTTGAGTGACAGTGTGAACCCAAGTTGGTTTTGGCGAGAACCCTGGCCATCACTTGCCGTTTGATTGCCGAGTGTCATACCTGTCCAGCCATTTGATTTTTTTGATCACTGCATATTACTGGAACACGCAGCGCAGCCTAGCACTAAACCGTTTTTTTTCATTTCTGTCGAGGTATCCGGTGTTCTGCTTGTCATTGGAAGAGTCTGTGGGAATTCCATGGGCCGTGACTTGCGCATTGCTCTTGGTCGCCGTGATTTGCCACTCATCCAACTGCTTTGGTCTTCTTATGGGCACACCAACAGATGGAAATCATCAAATTCAAATGGGGCGTAATTTTGATCCAAAGTTCGGACCCCAACCAATTTGTAGAGTCAAACCAGGTTCTGTGTCAATTCCAAGGCAGCTTGGTAACTACCAGCGTGCGCTTTGACAACATGCGAGTACAGATTCTAAAGCAATCAGTGGCAACAGAAGCAAGCTACTCTCAGGTGCGCAATCTTTTAATTTCCTTGCGCGTCCTTGCTGTTCCTTGCTTCCTTTGTGCCACTTCTGATGAGTCTTGTTCCAGGAAACGCCCGTGAGTTTGAAGCATGAATTTTGAGGCAATTAGTGCGAGCAAGATCTAAGGAACAATAATTGCAGGAGAGAAGATGAAAAGGTATGAGAAGAAGTTTCAAAATAGTCAAGATGGATCTGACACAACATGAGAAAAAAGTAGGCAACCATGGCAACATGAGAGAAGTCTATATCGTGCATGGACAGGTGCTGCAGTTGCCAGATTCTGGCAACATGCTTCGAGTTCCTACCATGGCGGGCTGCAGCTACCCAGATTCGAGCGTTTTGCATCAACGAAGCACGGGCTTGTGCCTTGGAGAATTCATAGTATTTTTTTTAATTTTTAATTTAGGGTTTGGTTGATTCGTAGCTCGTAGTTTGGTTATAGTTATAGTCATGCGGATCGATGCTGGGATGACTATCGTTTCCAACGAAAGCATGATTTTCGGATGTTTTCCGGAATCGGTTGGCCATCGGATGTTTTCATGGGACCATTATGTCTGCTTCGAGAAGATTCTTGTCCCAATCAATCCTTTGTCTTGGGCTTCTTGGGCTTGCAGGAGTACGATTTACAGGGATGCGCAAAGCCGCCTTCCTCTCTTTCTGCGTCTTGTCGGCTTTGAGCTATGGCTATGTTATTTGAGATTGCGAAAATTAACATCCTAACAAAGACTCCCATGCTCCAGAAAGAAAGACCGTTGACAAAATTCACCCAAAACTTGGACGATTAGTCTGGAGCAATTCACCAGGCCAAGCCCCCTAGGCAAATCTGTAGAAATCCATCGAAGGGGGAGACGGAACATGTTTATATTTTTCTACATGTTATGTTTTCTTTCGCTCTTGTTAGATGTTTTCAGATATGGTGAATTATGTTATCTAAGAATGTCTCTTCCACTTTTTGAGGTCCTAGATTGCGCAGCGAAGGCATCAAATGAAAACCAGGTTAAAAGATAATAAAACATGCCACGCCATTGCCATGTATCCGATGTAATCCAGTGTATCCCATTCTTTGTGTCTTGCTTGGCCAACCAGCCCCGATTTCCTCAGCCTACTTCTGGGCATGTTTCTTTCCCAGGAGAGCCATGAAGTTGGTGCTTCCCAATGCAACTGTGAAGATCAAACTCTTGACGCATTTGAGCAACGAAGAGCAGCAAAGCACCTCCACCATGTACCATGCGTTGTGTGCTCGCCGTAAGGTTGACGGAATGCTTGGGGGAACACAAGTATAGAACTTTTGGAAAGGCTTTGCTCGTGCCACTGCTTCTAAGTTGTGTTGTTTGAGACCTCGTGTAGGAAGCTGCGCAAATTAGAATTGTGTAAACTCTGAGAGTTCTGCTTTGCATCTCTCACTGGCATGTCACAATCATGCTTTGCCCAGACATGTGCATTTGGACCTACAGTTTTTATTTCTCAATGTGCCATAGATGCGGCGCATGCAGCACTCGTACGCCCTTGTACATGGTTTGAAGGGCTGAAGCTCCCTTGCCAGGCCCAGAGACAGTGTTGGACGCCCTGCGATGTGAACTGGTGTGCGAAGACATGCTGGGAGTGCAGGAGGCATTCAAGGGCTTGGAGGTGTCTTGGTGCTATAAGTTTGTCAACTTTCCCATCATGGCTCAAATCTGAAAAAATAAAGCAACTATTGCCGTGAGTGGCAGAAGGGGAGGGCTTCGCCATTGATCCAAACACGCACTTCGCGTCGGAACTTGAGGACAGAATCCAGAGCGAAGACCTGGCTTCCCTGCAAATCGCTGCGGTTCAGGATACCTTTGCGGAGATGAGCGGCCACAAGTGCTGCCAGGCGGATTGGTCCATGGGTCGATGGGTCGATGGGTCGATGCAATGGAGTTTCATGAGTAATTTCAGTGGACCCTTCATTGGACTACTGGATGCATCTTCACAGTTACGGCGCCATGCACGTGCTGGGAGAAAAACATTGAAAAACCGTGACTGATCGCAAATCTATACGATGTATACAATGTCGTACAGATTCTCACAACTTGTTTGGGGTCAGGATTGCACATTTGTTGGCAGGTGATCCTGCAGATGGAGAATCATTTTGCCTCGGTTTTTCTCATGGATGCGTTCCTCACGAGGCGATCTGGGGCAAACCCACAGGGTTGGATCTCCTTCGGAGCAACAGGGAAGTGGTGCTGAGAACTTGACATGGGACTGGTAGAACACCATGGGAACAGTAGAGCACCATGTGCCTTTGCGACTTGATGTGCCTTGTTTACATCGACTAAGTTCTAAGGCATTCTAAAGCAGAATAGGGTGGACAGTGAGCTGCAAACAGGATGGACAATGAGCTGAGCAGCGTGACCAAGTTGGCCGCGCAGTTTGGGTTGCTAGACGACATGAAATCCAAGTGGGAGACTTCATTAAGGCCGGGAATCGACCTTGCTGCAACCTTGCTCAGTATTATAATTCGTTCAGCAAGGTTGAGCCTTCAGCGTGAAACCATGATTCTGAGCGAACCTCTGGCCTTGCGAGCTGCTAGGCTTTGGAATTCCGTGTCTGACGTTCGCAGACCTTTGGTCCTTGCAGGGACCATCTTCTTGCAAGTTCTGGCTTTGGCCATGTCCATGTTCATGGCACTTCAATATTTCCTACGCTATGCTCACAGGAGACCCGTCCCCAATTGTCCTCACGCATCCTCAAATACTTTGGCCACTAACTGGTTTATGTCTATGTGTTGACCAGTCTTGTCAGAGTCCCATTTCTGAACTATTTGTCTAAGTCATTGTCAGCTCGGCAAATTTTTTTGTACAGCCAATTCCTGGAGTTTCGGAAATCCCGCAGGATCCGGCCCCAATTGCCTGACTTGGTTTTGGATGGCTTGCTGCTGGACAGAGGAGAGGAGTCCGGTGAGACTATCCTGGAGGTGTGGGAATTTGGGGAGAGTTCCATATGTTGACGTTCCAGTTGTGCAACTGAATCAGACGCCACTTCCCCCTCGGCCCAGCTGAGGCCATATTTTTGGCACTGCCCTACCTCGTTTTGGTGGCCGTTTTCCTGCAGCAGTTGTTGTGTCGGAAGCAAAGCAGGAACAGGCCTCAACCGACGAAGATCCTGTACGTTCCTGGGCAGCGGCATGATTTAATTTAGCCAATCTGGGCGATTGCAGTCTGTCATATTCTGGGTTAAAAATTGCCCATGATCATTGGTCATGTGCAATTTAAATCAATTTAACTTTTAGTGACTTGTGCAACCCGAGGAGCGATACTTTGGGTTGCGCGGAGCTTACTACCCCGTCAAGGTGGCGATTTTGCAAGGTCTCACCGTCATGGTGCAAGCCTTTGGAAAAATCTCCTTGTCGGGGGGCCTCGTCACCTTTGCCCAAGAAGAGCAGGACGCGACTGCCATTTTTTGGCTTAGTGTTGGCTTCTGGGCTTTCTTTGCTCTGCTGTGTTGGAACAGTCTCTATCCCGCCTTTCTTCTTATGTTCCCTGACACTGCTTGGGCTCGAATTGGAGCAGCATTTACGGATGCTGCTCTGGACCTTGGCTACATCTTGACCTACGTGGGTATGGCATCTTTGTTTAAATTTGGTTTGACAAGTTTCACTGGTATCACCGTCCTTTAGATCTTGATGGCTTGATTCTCAGATGTCTTTCAAGGGAAAGCATCATTGCTGCAAGGTCTTGGTGGCCATGCTGCGATTGCGGACAGCCTCCGAAGGTTGGGGAAATTTTGGCGAGGACTTGATGTTGCAGTTCAGAAACTAAGCTCCAGAATGGTTGGTCGTGCGTCAGCCAGCAACATTGAGTGTCTCCAGTGTTTCTTTGCATACCTGCGCCATGCGAGTGGGATCTTCACTTCAACTTGTTTGAATATTATCTGAGGCAATCGTATCAGCCCCGTGTTCGCTTTTCCCACCGATTTATTGGGCTATTGCGCCGTGTATTTCAACTTGGCGCATGCAAGCTGCATTGCACACATTTTGCAGCACACTAATTGGAGTTTGCCAGTGCGACCCAGGCGACAGCAAGACTAAACAGCTTGCCATGGGCCATGCCATATCTTGCCATGGAAAGATGTCAGATGATGTCAGTTTCGTTGCTTGTGAACTGACAGCAGCAAGCACAATGTCAGGGGCGAGCGCCAAAAGTCGAGATGCCTTCCAAGACTATTTGGGTGCTCCCTTTCCATTGGGCTTCTTTCGCTGCTGATAAAGCTCCTTGTGACGCAGGACTGCCGTACAAGATTTGCGTGAGTGACTGTGAGTGGTGATTTTGATTTGACGACACTTGTTCAAGCGCCTTTGCAGGAAGTCTTCCCAACGACCCATGGACGGGATTTCACGTTAAGCTCTCAGGGAACCGTTTGTATTTTTTTGCCATCAGAAGTTCTCATAAAAGATCTATAGGAAAAGGTCGTGGAATGGGATTACAAGTACCTTCGCAACTTGTGTCTCCTAGGTGTTTCCCGTGCTATTGCGTTAAAGATGTTGGCTCGGCTGGCCAACAGATTAGCAGCTGCACCCTTGCAGTCGTTCTCAGACAGACGCAGGCCAGGCCGACCACCGGCAGTTTGTTTTTCTGTATATGGAGACATGTTTTAATATGTTTTAATAATAGGGTTTTAACTTTTAATTTTAATATAATATTAAATGTTTGAATATGTTTGAATGGGAATGATCACATTATTCATGTGTGCATCTAATTTCATATGGATAATGCATTTTTCTTGCATCTGCTTCCCCTGCGCACCAACTTTAGGTGAACCTCGCTGCGAAGAACATCACTGCCGTGGACCCAAAGGCTTTCAGCAAACTCGGACATGTGCAGCGCCTGTCATTGGCGAACAACAGCTTGATCCATCTGCCTCCGGGCGTCTTCGAAGGCAGGAAGCTTTGAGCAGCATTGGTCAAAGAACAGTTCTGCATAGTTCTGCAAAGGCTTCGAGCAGCCATGCAATGACACAATGTGTGATGTTCATATAGCAGCCATACATTGATGTTTCAGGTCTATCATCATTGGAGCAGTTGGACTTAACACGAGTTAAGCTGGAAACACTGCACGAAGATTCTCTTTGGGGCTTAAAGCAGCTGAAACTATTAGCGATGAGACACTTGCCAGCAGCTGAAACATGTTTGAACACATTTCTTTGACGCAGTTTGCAAAATCTCAACATGTCATATCTTGAGTTTTAGCAAACTATGTTGAGTTTGCCGGTTTTCTTTGTCGTATCTCTCCAGTTTTTTCCCCAACAGCGTAAGCTAATGGGGTCTTCAGCCCAGAATAGCTTCGGTGTGCACTGGTGCAGAGCCGGGTCAGGTTCAACGAGGTTCCGGAGAAGGTTCGCGAAGGTCTGGGAGGCTTTGGTGCAAAGCCAGAACAGGTTCAACAGGGTTCCGGAGAAGGTTCCGGAGAAGGTGTGGAAGAGGCTTTGGTGCAAAGCCAGGTCAGGTTCAACAGGGTTCCGGAGAAGGCTCCGGAGAAGGTCTGGGAGGCTTTGGTGCAGAGCCAGGTGAGATTCAACAGGATTTGCAACCATTAACTCACGGAAACCCAGGTGAGGTGTTTCCAGCGCTTGGCTCGCAGCACGCTTCAGAAAGATTTGTAAAAATAAAACGTAGCGGCTGTTGGGGATACCACTGAAGCTTATTTTCCAAGGCGAGAACCGGCTCACTGAGCTCTCGGCTGCAATGCTCCGACACCTGCCGCTGTTGGAGCAGCTGCTCTTGGGCGGCAAAGAACCCGAGGACGGGTTTGGGCCCAACATCGTGACAGGTAATCGCATCACGGAGCTCGGGGCCATCTTCGGACACAACGAACAGCTGCAGGTGATTGACTTCAGCCAAAACCAACTCCAGAAGATTGACCCGACTACCTTTGCAGGACTAAAGAAGCTCCGATGGCTGAGCTTAGGGTTGAACAAGTTGACGTCAATTCCTGCGGGAACATTGCAAGGCCTTGCTGAACTCCAGCAACTCAATCTGGAGTACAACAAGTTGACAACAATTCCTGCGGGAACATTCCAAGGACTTGGGCAACTGCAGACACTCTATCTGTGCGGCAACTATTTGACGACAATTCCTGCGGGAACATTCCAAGGCCTCGAGCAACTGCAGAAACTCGATCTGCACGACAACAAGTTGACGACAGTTCCTGCGGAAATATTCCGAGGACTTGAGCAACTGCAGGAACTCTATCTGGAGTACAACGAGTTGACGACAATTCCTGCGGGGGCATTCCAAGGCCTTGGTGAACTGCGGGAACTCGATCTGAATGTCAACAAGTTGACGACAATTCCTGCGGGAACATTCCAAGGACTTGGTCAACTGCAGACACTCAGATTGTACGGCAACAAGTTGACGACAATTCCTGCGGGAACAGTCCAAGGGCTTGTCAACTGCAGAAACTCTACCTGGGGTACAACAAGCTGACGACAATTCCTGCGGGAACATTCCAAGGACTTGGTCAACTGCAGACACTCAGTTTGTTCGACAACAAGTTGACGACAATTCCTGTGGGAACATTCCAAGGACTTGAGCAAGTGCAGGAACTCTATCTTTATGGCAACCAGTTGACAACAATTCCTGCGGGAACATTCCAAGGCCTTAAGCAACTGCAGCAACTCAATCTGGGGTACAGCAGGTTGACGACAATTCCTGCGGGAGCATTCCAAGGCCTTGAGCAAATGCAGACACTCGATCTGCCCTTTCCAGGACTAAAGAAGCTCCGATGGCTGAGCTTAGGGTCGAACAAGTTGACGACAATTCCTGCGAGAACATTCCAAGGACTTGAGCAACTGCAGGAACTCTATCTGGAGTACAACGAGTTGACGACAATTCCTGCGGGGGCATTCCAAGGCCTTGGTGAACTGTTTAAACTCGATTTGCATGGCAACCAGTTGACGATAATTCCTGCGGGCACATTCCAAGGACTTGTTCAACTGCAGGAACTCGACCTCCGCGGGAACCCTTGGCATTCTTGGAGCGTTTGCATTAATTCTTCCTCGCTGCCTCTGTTGTATTATTTGTCAGGCGTAAACTTTTGCTAACATGTTTAGGGACGGAGCGCTTGAAATGCATCTGGCCCTTGCAACCGCAGTTTTGGAAGCGCCACAGCAAGTTCAGAAAAGAACTTTACGTCTGAGTTGCCACAGACATAGCTTGCAGTTCCATATTTCACATCAAAACCTATCCACCTCGGTCAGCCGGCCTTGATCAAGGACACCGGGTCACCTTGGTCTCGCCAACGTTGGGGCTCTCAGAGCCGAGGGGGTCCATGTACCTTGCGGGCACATCTCGCTATGTCGCTATGCGCCCTACGAAATCTTCGTCACTCCACGTTGCAAGGCACATGATCCTCAACATATTTGAGGTCTAGGCGTGCCGGGTTGAGGCAATACTCACATCATCTCACATCCAGCTACTCGTAGCACTTGGTACTCGAGGTCCTGACTTAGTTGAGTAGCTCGATTTCAGATTGTGCATTTAAGATTTTATAAGTGCACACGAGTAATGTTTTGATCCCTGCATGTTTGCAGCCATGGTGCAAAATATGCGACTCCACATGGATTTTAAGTTTGACATACCAAAGGCTCCGCTTTTTCATGGAAGCAAGCTGTGCTACATTCCAACCAAGAAGTTGCACAGGCACCTATACACAATACTTGATACATATTCAAGTAGTTCTAAGTAGTTGAAACACAAAATGTAAGTACGATTGTTCAAAGATTCCAGCATGTTCCACCCATGACGCACGGCTTGTTGGGCCACTGACCGGGGCAGCCAGAGTTTCCCACAGTAAAGCAACCTGAAGAATTTGATGGTGGAGCGCAGCCCAAACTGCACAACTCGACCTTCAGGTGGGAACCTTTTTTTTCTTGGAGTTCAACAGGTCATTCATGGATAGGTTTCCAAGTGCCCTTTGAACATGTACAATCAGTACTGCACAGCCCTCGTCGCCATGCAACATGTAGGGAACAGTTCGACCCTGCAAAATTTCCATCTGTGCCAAATTTTGGCCCCTTAGGCTAAGGGTACACAATTTCAGCCCCTTAAAAGAAAAAACGCCTCTGGCACTTTTCTTGAGCAAGGAAAGTGTCCTTGGAAGATTCATCCCTGAATCATATCCATGTAGTTTTGTTCCAAGTTGTGATTCCTATGCTACAACTGTTGGTGCCAGCTACCAGCACCTAATCAGCAACTTAAGAGCTGCATGACATGCCAGTGTGGGATGAACAAGTCGCCAGAATAGTATGAAAGAGGGCAAAGCTGCTTGAAACCCTTGTACGCCCATGGTGTGACCTGTGTCATGCCTGAAAAACCTGGACCCGTATCAATTCCAAAATTGAAAGTGGGTGATTGCCCAATGATGGATAATTGCACCTTTTACCAAGCAAATTACGCCCCTTAAAAGCACAAAAGTTTAGCAACAATGGTAGTCTATCACCGGGCAAATACAGGATCACATGAGCTCCAAAAGCCACCAAAAGCCACGTATGTCACACCATACCTCCAAAAAAACAAGTATTCATTCCTTGGGATTCTCAGCCTTTGCCTCTTTGCGCTTTTTGGACTCTTAGGCTTAAGTTCTTTTCGTGCCCGGACCCAGTGCCACGTTCCGAAGAAGCCCTTTGTGACGACACACCCCTGTGCATGCAAACGGTGGAAGTATGTCAGGGAAGGACATGTGAACAAGCACTAGCTGCTTGAGACATCTTGGCACAGAACCACAAGTACTTTGACAAAATAGGTATAACAAGCATGAGTTGAACACAAATGGCCAGCTCACGAATCTTGCCCATCGTCTCAGCGTTCGCGGTAGCTTCCGAGAGATGGTGGGCGACTAGGCCATGTAAGGTCTGCAACTTGTTTCAAACATCTTGGAACTGTGTCATCAGCCTAAGTTGGAGCAACACATTTTACTTCACACACATGTGTCATTGCCCCACCCATACTCTGTGAAGCAGCAGGCTTCAGCCCATCCATCCAAGCAACCTCTTGGCCACAGTACTCTCAAACTTTGGTGAGGCGATCCTACCAGGGATGCGAGATGATGTGAGGCTAGGTACCAACTTGAAAGGCTGCATACCTACC